CCCCCCCCCCCCCCCCCCCCCCATGCCCTGTCACCTCCTGTCTTACTTTTACATCCTGGAAGAAATCAACGAGGCTATGTCGAACACCAAAAACACAAATGTTTTCAAGGCAAAGATGGCATCCACTCCAAATTCCTCAAGAACCTTGTAGCCAAGGGTTGGCACGGCTGGGACGTCTCCTTATCGCTATTCACACGACCGGAAAGATCCCGAGAAGCTGGTATCTCCCTCCTCAAACCCAGTAAACCTAGAGAGGAAGCCGCCACCTACCGACCGATTTCACTCCTCTTGTCGGCTATGAAGCTATGAAAGGCGTCACTTGCCCGGTTGACACTCGTCATCGAGGAAGTGCTGCCGAAAGATCAGGCCGGCTTCTGCTCAGACAGAAGCTGCTGCGACCGAGTCCTCGCCCTAACGTGCCACATCGAAGCTGGTTTCCAGAGGAAACAAAAAACGGGCACCGTGCCGATCGACCTGTCTTCAGCATACGATACGGTCTGGAGATACGATACGCTCCTTCTCAAAGCATCAAGAGTAATCAGAAGCCGGAGCACCATCCGCCTTCTTGCAGCCATGCTAAGCAACCGCCGCTTCCGCGTCCACCTCAACGGACAGGTCAGCAAGGCGCGCACCCTCAATCACGGTCTCCCACAAGGATCCGGGCTAGCTCCTTCGCTCTTTAACATCTACAGGAACGACATGCATGACATGGTATCCAGAAAGTCCATATATGCCGATTATATCGCACTCGCGGCATATAGGACAAAACGTTCTGTCATCACTGCCGACCTCCAATTCATAGTGGACTATTTCCACCTCTGGAAACTCCGCCGAAACCCCTCGAAAATAATGGGGACAGCTTCACACCTTGATAATTAGGTTGCGAGCGAGCCACTCAATGTCATATTTTGTGACCAACAAACGAGACACGAGACGACCCCGAAGTAAGTTACCTGGGTACGACACTGAACCGCATCTTGACACAACAAACTTCAAACAGGGACACTGGCGCTGACATACCGGGTGGCGTAAAAAAAAAAAAAAAAAAAGTCCTGTTTGACGCTTTATAAAAACCCGCTGTGAATAATCTAGGTTCGTGCGATTTTTTTTTATTACATTCGAAATACTAAAAAAAAATTTTCTTGGAAATATCATGCGTCTAGGTTGTCTGAATAAAAAGCGACACACGTTCAAAGTGGAGTTATAAAATGTACCTTTTCCCCACATGAAGTGGATGGAATTTCAGCACTTTGAAAATGATTTCTCTGGGG